AGACAAAATAAAAACTCACAAAAATATAAGAACACTTGGAAAAGGTAATCATCTTTAGGATAAAGAAACCACTTTCTCAACAAAGGTACTGAGCATGTTTAATAAAAATTAAATAAGATTAAAGACGAGGTGCACAGCGCGCATCCCCGCAACTCTCCGTGATTAGGACGGTGTTATGTGCCTAGAAGGTGGCACAGCGCCACTCACCAGTAGATCTGGAATCAACTGCCTCCAGGTGGGCTGAATTCCTCAACTTTCACTTAAAGGATAGAAATGAATTTATTCTTCCATTGTACAGTGGTCTTGGAAATAAACTGGGTTGGCCCGTGCAGGAACAAAGATGTGTTTCCACACAGAAAGGCGCACACAGAGCAACTCCACTCAACCAAGGCAGGGCGTGGCCTGGGGGGGTGCCCAGGCACTCTTCTCCAAAAAAACCCCAGCAAACAACGCGTTATTCAGAGCAACTAAGTGTAAGAGCTCCGTGTAACAAACAAAGCAAAAACAAGAGGTAAGAAACAGAAGGCCCCGTCCCCACCCTGTATCCTGGCATGTTGCACAACAGCAGGAGAGCAGACAATACCCCTGGTTTGGTTCTGCGTCTCATCTGTCAGGGCAGCTGCGCCATTCTATCTAGGATTTTTGGTTGTGGTGGGGGTTCCCCTCAACCTCCTACAACAAATAGTTTAGCGCTACTGTCATTTGGGCCCTATATCTCCCACCCTCAAGGGCTCTACATGCTATGCTTCATTTGGACCAGATGCTCAAATCAGTGAGTCTGCTCATCCCCACTAGGAACACAACAGTAATCATGTAGCTGTCCTTCCAGCACATGTAGTAGTGCCAAGTGGCTGCCAACATGCCGTGGATGGCAGAGAGCTGGCACCCCTCTGCAGAGCCACCAGCATCCCAGCAGGCTGGGGGCCGGTGGAGGGAGGTACCCTCACCTAGCCCTGTGTGACGCGCCAGCAAGAGGCACTATAAATCAATAGTTTAAACAGACGCAGATGCCACGTGGCAAGAGAAAGGGAGGAAAATTTGAGGCTTTATATTCTTTAGATGTCTACTTTCTAAGCACTGGCTATTAAAAAATTATGTGTAACTTCAAGATGAAAGACATTAGCATCTTCTTAGAAGAGGATAATCCCAATCTTCTGGAGATTTAATGATGTAACTCACTGAAGCTTCTGACTGGGTCGGCTGTTAATTGAATCAAAGTCAATGACAATCTTACTGCACTTTGGCGTGAATTTCCTGAATGTAACCCTAGCCATATCAAAGATGAGCCTCGCAGCGGTTGTCTCTTTGCTATCATGGTATTTATCAGACATGAAAATAACTTCTTTGATACCTGCCTGGATGGTGAGTTTAGCACATTCATTACATGGGAACAAGGTGACATACATGGTGCAGCCTTTCACGTCGGCCGAGTTTTTGTTCATAATGGCATTCAGCTCGGCATGGCACACATAAGGATACTTGGTTTCCAGCTTGTTCTCTGCTGTCCTCCTCCAAGGCAACAGGTCATCACTGCATCTGTTTGGCATTCCATTGTACCCAATGCCAACAATCTTGTTTTCTGTATTCACGATGCAGGCCCCGACTTGAGAATTTGGATCTTTGCTTCTCTGTGCTGATAAGAAGGCCACGGCAATGAAATACTCAGGCCATTCCAAATAGTCATCCCGCTTTCTGCAGGAAACTTCACTCGTGCTGGGTCCACAAGGCTGGCCGCTGCCCATGCTGCAGCTCCGGTTCCGTCCAGGCGCTCTTCCCTGCCGCCATTTCCGCAGTTCCCGCCGCTCAGCCGCCGCATCCTGCGCACCCAGGGCCCATTTCTTTTTGATACAGTGACTGTGTATTCCTTTCGTCTTCTTTTGATGCTTTCTGCATCATTCTATATTTTGCCCATGGAATTCTTCAATATTGCTTACTACATGGTTGGTGTCACATGGTTCCTATGCATGAGCAAAAGACAGAAGATAATCCTGTGAACTCTGAATAGGGTAGAAGCCTTCTCTAATAATTTTAAGGGACTGGAAGAGAGAAAGAGAGAAATTCAATTCCCAGCTTTTTAAACAGAATATTCTGAACTCAATGCCTCAGTTTTGGAGGCCAAGATAGAAATAGTAGAGGCAGTTTGTTCTCCCTATAGCAACAAATACAATATAATTGTATCTGATATATTTGTTACTGTAGGTTTTATTATTGTTGATGTTAATTTTGTTTCTTGATCTTTATAGCAGTTTGTTTTTAATACCAGTGTAAAGCTCCATTTGTATTTCACAAATAGTTTGAGAATTGGTGATGCCATGTATTATTACTAGTCCCATTACATTTGTATATTGTACTTGATTATTTTGTCTGAAAAGTTAATTAAGGGAATGATTGTTCTTCTTTATGACTGATCCCTACTACCTTTTTTCGGCAAAAAGAAACTGACGTTCAAGATTCTGTCTGCACTACAAAGCTATAATATATATAAGTCAATACAGTACCACTTCAGTAGAGATTTAATCTTTGAAAAGACCTAAAACACTACCTGCTTTTTATAGCTGCCAGACATATGGAAAACATCCTTGAAAGTTCTTTTAAAACATTATAATTTAACCAGAAAAGATATCTTTGAAACATCCTAGCATTATTTGATTAAATCTGCATCTTTTTTGAAGATAACCTGATGTCATCAGATTCATGTCTATTATAAATTCCAAGATAATATTTGAATCTGTTGGCCTCATAAAAACAATTGAGGGTCTAGATACAGAGTTATAAATTATTCATGGTGCTATAGGATAAAGCACTGGACTACAAGTTCAGTTTGAAGCATGAGGTCAGCAGTATGAACTCATCAGCTTTTCCTTGGAAACCCTGTATATGGTTGCTATGAGTCAGAACCGACTTGATAGCACTTAACAACAACTGGATTACAAGCTGGGTTGCTGACTGTAAAGTCATCAATTGCTTCACAGGAGAACGAAAAGGCTTTCTTCTCCCGTAAAGATGTAAACATCAGAAACCGTGTACAGTGTTGCTATGAATTGGAACCAACTTGGTGGCATAGAATCACCCACTATAATACAGATAAACATATGTATTACATATACTGATGTGACACGATAAGATAAGCACTGAACTAAGATAGGTGGTGCAAACCCATGAGCCACTCCTAAGAAACCCTATACACAGTTGCTATGAGTCAGAAACTTGATGGCAATTCACAACAACATTGCTTCCCAAAGGATTCTGTGACAGCTTACATAGTCATAAAATTTGTAATACACTAATAAAGAATGTGGAGTCTTGCTGTGGCACTGTGGGCTAATGCGCCAGACAGCAAAGTCATTTGAACTGCAAGGTCGGTGGTTCAAGCTCACCAGTTTCTCCTTGGAAACCGTATACAGGGTCGCTTTGGGTCGGAATCGACTCGATGGCACTTAACAACAACAATAAAGAATGTGATCCCACTACAAAGGAAATCACATAACCTATCCTAACATACAATATCAGTTAACAGAACAAAAAATTTAGCTCTAAGCAGCCTGGCTGCCAATGCAAAAACAAAAGGAAAGGAAATTGATTGTATAACTCACATTTAATAAACAAAATAAGAATTTGCAATAAAGTTCAGTATTTTTCCTAACACTGAACACTAAGAGAAATTTTGAAATGCACAAATGGCATTGGGGAAAACATAGATAATTAATTTTTAAAAATATATCAGATGCATCCTTCATATTGTAATTGTCAATTTTGAAAACAGAACTGATGTCAAAATCACAGTCCTGAGAGAATACATTCTGTCTAGAGATAAACCTTCCTGTTTCTCTGACAATACATATTGAGAGTTTGAAAGATTTCGAGGAATGGCTTGCTCTTTTATGTTCTAATTCTGCTGCTCCCTGTTAAGAATGTATCTCTGACCTGACTACTAAAATAGAATTCTAGTTTCTACCCATGTTATAAATTCAGTTATATTTTTTTTTATTTTTCTCTAAAGACCACTGAAAATAATAAACTTAAAATAAATCTTTAGTTCTCATTTTTAATTGTTGTAACTAAGTATCACAGTGTTTGAACATGACACAATAGTTATTTTTAAAAGGTATAAATATTAGTGAATGGAGTTTTCATTTTCTGAAATATAGATGTCACAAAAAAGGAAAGCTTGACCTTCCGGGAAGATGCTAGACTAGGCAGACGCACTACCATTACCTTCTACAATAAAAATACAAGAGACAAAATGAAATAGACAGTAGAAAATTCTGACATCTTGAAACTTCAGAGGAAAGGTTAGAAAGGTATATGGAGTGCTTGCTGAGAGGAAAGGCCAAGCAGGGATGGTGAGAGAGGGAGACTAATTGGTAAAGACTGGTCAGACATGGCTCAACCATCTTGGGAGCAGCTTTGGCAGCAGAGGGAGGGTTAGTAGAGCAGGTTCACATGAGCAATGGAAAAGGTGAGATTTCTTCTTTATCCCACACTCCCATGGTGACCAGAAATGTGGCCACCTCCCTACATCATCCACCCCCAGCACAGATTCTGTACTCTGGGAATTTGGAGATGTGTGGTTGGGAGTCATCTCAGCATGAAGTGGGAGCCAACTGTGCCACTTTAGTGTGCCGCTTTGGTACCCGGATCCAGGTGGCCTCAGCTCCAGACCTACAAAGTCTGCATATGCACCAGACCAGCATTTAATCTGCCCAGAGCAGCCCTATAGTCCTAAAAGACACTGAAACCAACTCCATCAAAATACCCCACAAACTACTTCTGGATTGAGTGCCCTGAACACAGATAGCATTGAGGTTATTAGAAACTTTATCTAGGGTCAGGAACTCTGTTGTCACATCCCTTGCATAGCCACCTCATGAACTCCTAGAATTGCAGAAGCTACTCTCCACACAACCCCCTCCCAAGAGATTTCTACCCTTTGGGCCCCAAAATTGCACTATTTGTTTTTACAAATGTGATCATCTCAAAGTGCCCAAGAAACAGCAGACAATTTTAGCTCACACAAAGAAATAAGAGAGAATGGCTCAAACAAATGACCAAGGTACAGAGTCATAAGGCATTTCTGAGGAAGAAAAGGTAATAGAATTAACTACAAAATAAATCAAAACAATGACAATTAGGTATCTACACACAATCAATTGAAAGAACAAAGAAAGCAAGGAGAACACAATAAAAACGTAAAAGAATTCAGGAAAACACTACAGGAGTTAGGAGACAAAATAAATGCAAATGTCAAACAATACAAAACCTATTGTATTAGAAATCCAGAAAATTAATATTAAGATCTCAGAAATGAACAGTACATTGAAAGGGCAAAGGAGTCGATATGAAACAACAGAAGTCTGAATTAGCGAGGGTGAAGACAAATCTCTCAATACTAGTATGCTATAAGAACAATCAGAAAAAAAAATGAAAAAATCCAGAGAAACCCTGAGTTATGTGGGATGCCATTAAGAGAAACAACTTGTGGATGATCAGAACTCCAGAACAGAAAGAGAAAACTGTCAAAGAGTTGTTGTAGGAAAACTTACCTAAGATCATGAATGATAAACACACAAGAAGCTGAATGAACCACAAACAGGTTAGATCCCAAAAGAAAATCACCAATACATAACATAATCAAATTATCCAAAATTAAAGGTAAGGAAATAATACTGGGAGAAGCTTGGGAAAAAAGAAAAGTTACCTACAAAGGAGAACCAATAAGACTAAACTCTGATTTCTCAACAGAATCCCCACAGGCAAAAAGACAGTGGAATGACATATACAAAATTCTGAAAGAAAAAGATTGCCAACCAAGAATTATACACCCAGCAAAGCTGTCCCTCAATAGTTGACAAAAGTCAGACATTTCCTGATAAACAGAAATGAAAGGAATTTGTAACTTTAAATTGTAAAGATTAATCCTCACCTCACCATTTGAACAATAAATAGTATTCTTATCAATAGAAAAAAGATTGAAGTTGTCAAGGACTTCATTCTTCTTGGATCAACCATAAACACTCACTCAAGAAATCAAATTATGTATTGCATTAGGCAAATCTGATGCATAAGACCTCGTTAAAGTGTTGGAGAAGAGCAAAGATTCCAGCTTGAGGACTAAGGAACACCTGACTCAAGCCATGGTATTTTAAATAACCTCATATGCATTCAAGAGTTGGACAGTAAATAAAGAAGATCATGTAGAAGAATTGATGCATGAGTTATGGTGTTGGAGGAGAATATTGAAAGTACCATAGGCCATGAAAAGAACAAACAGATCTGTGTTGGAAGAAGTATAGCCAGAGTGTTCCTTGGAGACCAGGATGGCCATACTTCTTGTCTTATACTTTGGATGTATTGTCAGGAGGGACCATTCACGGGAGAAGTATGTCATGTTTGGTAAGGTAGAGGGTCAGAGAAAAAGGGGAAGACCCCCAGTGAGATGGATTGGCAAACTGTCAGCATCAATGGGCTCAAGCATGACAACAATATTGAGGTTGACCCAGGACCGGGCAGTGTTTCGTTCTGCTGTACATATGGTTGCTATGAGTCAGTGCAGACTCGCTGGCATCTAACAACAACAATTTTACAAAATATGTTACAGGGTGTTCTTTATATGGAAAACCAACTACAGCAGACCACAATTTAAGATCACCATACATGACAACAACACCCAGAAGTCAATCCATGTCTAGAAATATTTAAAGTGAAATAAACCTACAAAACTGAAAGTAGGGGACCAAAGATATCAATGTATAATGAAGTGGACTACAAAGTGAAAAGAGGGAAGTGTGTAGATACAAAACTTCAAATGGCAAGGAAGTCAGATAAATTTCAAGATAAAAAATTTTTAATCGGGGAAAAATTAATAAATTACAGTGTAACCTCAAAGAAAAATAACGTCAAAAAAAAAAGGAAAGATTTGGGGACTTGAATTACTTTGATACACATATTGAAAAGCAAATACTGTAGTGAGAATGCTTGGAAGGAGAGCAAATGAATACTTAAGTCTATTGGAGACTTCATGGAAGCATTTGAGTTCTCAATAGTCTCAGCCTCAATCTCTCATATTTTAAAAAAATAATTACTGGTGAACTCGCTCAGCCTTTTCATATCAATTATGCACATGAGTTTACTATTTTTCTAATGCTCAGTACAGCATCATAGCTAAATCAATTATTTTTGTCATCTACAAATGGACTCTATCCCATTGATTTGTTTTGCTGAATTAATTTTAGATCAGGATCAAAGGTCATCAAAACAATCCAATTAACTTGATCTGCCTAGACTTAAAAATAATTTTTACTGCTCATGTGGGGTATTAATTTCATTCTACTATTGTGCATTTTCAATATGATTCCTTAGAGCGCCAATGCAATCATTCTATTAAACAACAATAATACATAAAAAGGGTATATTACTTTGGAAATGGACTTATATGTAAGTATCAAATTATTTAAAAATAACTATATATTGTTTTCTAAACAAACCTAAAATAATTAGTTGTATTAACATTTAAAAACATTTATAGTGTTACTCCAGTGATGGCATTTAGGTAAATAAATAAAGCATTTACTACAGTGCTTAGAATAAAGAATGAAACAAAAAACATTACATACTTATTTCTCCCTTAAAATAGTGCCGTATTCTGTTGACAACATACAATAAGTAGTAACTTTGCTGTGAAAAAGGTAATCATATCTATTAGGGATTGTTGTTGTTAGATGCAGTCCAGTTGATTTCAACTCGACTAGTCACAACAGAACGAAAAACTGCTCAGTGCTGGGCCATCTTCACAATTGTTGTTAAGCTTGGGCCCACTGCTGCTGCCACTGTGCCAATCCAACTAGTTGGGGGTCTTCCTCTTTTTTGTTGACCTGCCATTTTACCAAGCATAATATCCTTTTCCAGGGACTGATCTCACAAGGGGCATTCTGGCTGAACTTTTTCCAATACAAATTTGTTTGTTTTTCAAGCAATCCATGGAATTTTCAGTATTGTTCTCTAATACCATAACTCAATTGCATCAATTGTTCTATGGTTCATTGCCCACAACTTTCACATGTATATGAGGGATAACCAAATTAAATCCATCATGTTCTTACACAACCCAAGTGTTAGACAATATGGTCTTTGTGTTTTTTTCTGCATTTAATATGTTCTGTATATTTTAGTTTCTGGACTAACTTAATCCTAATCACCCTTTCATATGAGAAATACAGACTTGTAAATTCTATATCTGAACTTTAGCATATTTATTGTTCTTCATAAATTATAAACTACTGAAATTTCTTCTTTTCTAACATAACCAAAATGTTTACAGCAAGTTCATTGATAATAATTAGCCCTTGACAAAAAAAAAAAATGACTTTATATTAGTGCTACACACATTTTAACAGATGCCTATTTTCTAATTAGTGTTCATGAATGATTTCTCCCCAAATTGTTCTTTTATTGTTAAGTTCCAAGAAATCTACATGTTTTGTATCACAAAGGAATGATTTTCTTTACTGAAGTTTCCTTTCTTTTCTTATGTATGTTTTTTTTGAAACAGATGATTTAGAGTAAAAGCATTTTATTATAGATTATTTTATCTTAAATCAAGTATAATTATATGAAGAACATAAAACCTGAATCAAGAATTCTACCACTGAGAAAAAAAAACAAAAAACACTGCAGTTTTTAAAATTACTACTGAATTTTGAACAATATATTTTTCAACGAATTTTTCCATATATGGGTTTGCCCAAATAGAAGTTTTAAGTCATAGTCTAATCATCAGAATCTCAGTTAAAGGTCAGTCACAATTTTTATAAGATCCCTTATATCACTAAGATTTCATTTTATTATGGATGAAGAAGTAACCGCACTGTGAATATTTTCATTCTAGGATTACAAAGATGATTTTCTTCATTACTAAAAGAAGTATCTATTTGAATCCAATTTAAATGAAATAAGGACTTCTAAAGGCATTCACAATTCAATAGGTGACAGCTACACCATAATGCAGTGAAAAACGCATTAATAACCATGTTTTCTTCCATTACTTCCAAGCACTCACTGTGACCATACATTATCTTTTTTCCACAAAATAAAGTGTGATGTTTATTTTAAATATCAACAGTCTTTGACAGTCTTTTGCTGTCTTGCAAAGACCTCATCCAACCATATCTATGTAAACATTCGGTCATATTATCATTCTTCCAACTGGATGCTCTGCCAGAATTAACCACTCACTGCTTTCCATTTTTCTATTAGCAGTTCTACTTAGTTCTACTTCTGTCTACCATTTCTCATGTTCTTATTGTTTGTTTTTTTCTTAACGGAAAAAAAAAAAAAAAGGCTCCAAAGAATCAATGTACTGTTTTGAGTAATCTTTAATAATACAGACCTTGTCAGATTCATTCTTTTTGGTCTGGACCTCTACTTGTCTTGCAGGTTACTTCATTCTTAAACACTCTGTATTATATAGTTTTTCCACTAAATAAGTGCAGATCATAATATCAACTGTTTTCATTGGTTTTGTAAATATTTTCTGAACATTGCTATTTGTTAATTGTAGTGCATTTTACTATGACTATTATGAATTAACTACAAGTGAGTCAAGAAGATTTTATTATCAACATATTCATTTAGGAAATGTAAACCAACTGTTTACAATACATCATGGAATGTATGAAATGCTGGAATATGGAGATAGCAGAACAATAACTGTTCTCAATGAGTCTCAAAGCATGCTGAGTATTATTTAAAATAATTTAAAATATTTTAACTATTGTTGTTAGTTCCAACTCATAGCGAACGTGTATAGGGTTTCAGAGGAACAACAGGTGGGTTTGAACCACTGACCTTGTGGTTAGCAGTCCAGTGCTTATCCTTCACCACCGCACCTGGACCCCATTTTTAACTACGTTAAGTGCCATCGAGTCCGTACACTCATAGGCTGTACCTACTGTATAGGGTTTCTGAGGAGTGGCTCCTGAGCTTGAACCATTGACCTTGTGGTTCAAGAAG